TGAAGACACTAATGCATTTGTGCTACTCAAGAGCTTTCCTACCATCATCTACTTCTCTGATACATCTTTGAAGGAATGGGAATTGTCCTTGGTCATTTTATTCTTATTCCTTTCTAAACTCTTTTTCCCATGAGGGGCTTCTCTGTCTCCAGGGTTGGCAAATCTCTGAAGATTTCACTTTGTCAAGGCAAGACCAAAATTTAGCTTCCTAAACATGACTGCCCCTGAAGACAATTTGGTATAACATCCCTTCAACACTTCCCTTAAAACCTGAGCCTCAGTGGCTCCATTATTATTAAAAATTTGATAATTAATATCCCAAAGTAATTTGTATTTAATTGAAGCTGACTTTCTTTTATCATGGAAGAAAATGACTTAGTTAGAATTTAAGACATCAGAAAAAAGCAAGTGAGAAAAAAAATCTGTGTCTGATAACTTCCCTCGTGCCACACTGAATCTAAATGTAATACTACATAAGCAACTGTTTACTTATAAACTCTTTCTTTTAGAAAATAGTTGGAAGGCCCTGAGCCTTGGTTCATTATGAGTAATTTCAGTGTGTAATAATGGTGCCAAGGAAAACAAGGTTCACTAAGTCTCCTTGTTGCTGGAAACAATATTAAGAGTGGTCATGGATTGAATAAGCCATCTTTGATTTTTAATAGCAAAACAAGTAATTGTTCACTGAAATATTCTATGAAAGTTGCACAATTTATTTTATAAAAATATGCTGGACTTTATTGTGTATAATGAATTTCTAGGGATAAAAACTTATAATAATAGAATTCTGAAGTTTCTTATAATCTAGTTTCTTACAATCTACTTTTGGAAAATACTCTTGATGTGAAAAGAAAAAGAAAAGAACATGCCTCTATATATGAATATATAGAAAGAATATTTATGATAATTGTACAAGTAGATAAATTCAAAAATTACCCCTGTAACCAGGACTCAGACCAAGAAATAGAGCATTACCAGCATCAACAAAGCCTTTTGTATGATCCCTTCTAGGTCACTAAAGTTTTACCTTCGTGGAGTGAATACTTTTTTGAGTTTTTATCATGATAGATTACTTTTATACTTTTTGAACCATATGTAACGGGATGCCTAGAGTATGCACTGTTTCATGTAAAAACATGCTTCTGAAATCCATCCATATTGTCGCAAGCAGTTGCAATACATTCATTCTCATTGTTGTATAGTAGTCTTTGTATAAATATATCATTATTAATTTATCTACTTTACCACTGATAAGAAGTTGAGTCATTTTATTATTTTTCTATTATCAATAATGTTAAATGGACATTCCGGTACGTGTTTTTTGGTAGAGATATACACTCATTTATCTTGAATATAAAACCAGGAGTTGAAAATGTGTGCACACATGTGTATACAATTTAGATTTAGTAAATATTGGCATAAAGTTTTCTACAGTGTATGCCCATCCACAGTTCCACTGCCACAGTTTCAGTGTGTGAGTCCTCCGGGTGTTCCACATCCTCATCAATACTTAATGTTGTCTTTCATTTTAATTTAGCCATTATGCAAAATATGTGATTTCCCTGATGACTAAGAAAGTTTAATATCCACTTTTAAGAAGGGTCTCAAATCAAAATGCACAACATAAGGTCAGTTAAATTGGTTCAGCTTGATGGTATTCAGTGTCCTGCAACCTGTGCTATCTTTCATCATTACCACTTCCATTTCAGATCAAATTGACCTCAAACTGTAATGTGGTTTTTTGATATGAATATATTCCCACCCATCTGCCATTCTTTTTAAATCTCCACAAATATAAAAGTAGGTTTGTGCATTACTCATTGATAGGATTGAATAAATATAGACCCAAAAATGTGGTAGCTGGAATATGCAACAAAGATTATCCAGGTCAAACTCTTCTTTTGGCATAGTGGAAATGAAAGCTCAAAGAGGGAAAGTGATGTGATGAAGGTAGGAATTATTGTGAGTTGAGAGTAGATTCAGACGCAATTTTGTTGTCATTGTTTCTCCAGTTTATTGCACATTTCTAGAGATATCAACCTGGGTTAAATTTGTTACCTCCAAAGAAAGAGCCACACACTAACCAAAGCAGTGAGAATTAGCACTGTTTGTTTTAACATATTTTGCTAACCAGCTTTTTGCCAGTTGTAGTTAATTTCTTGTATAATTCTACATATAGCTTAATCTGGCATATCTAGTTGTGATTATGTTTGGAATGCCAGGACCTGGGCAGAAATAAGGAACTATGATGAAGGAATTGACCTACAATATTGACTCATTATAAAGACATTGATAATGTCTTATTTGACAATTATATTTGCCACCGATTATTGATGAGTATACTATAACAAACCTAACAGTTAGAGAAATAGAGAGTGAAGAAAATGGTTAGGATTGAATTAGATTAAGTAAAATAGATTAAAGTATTTCAATACCAAATTTCCCTGGCTTTCTTTGGAAAACCAAGACAGAAATCTCTTGCAGGTCATAGTCCAAGCCCCTAGTTGAATGATGAATTTCCCAATGTTTCCATTAAGTGATTATTCCTCCTTTGCTTTAACAAATTTAGGCACATGATCTCACAAATTATAAAAATCAGTCAATTTCATTTGTAGACATCCTGTTATTGAGCTTAAAATACATAATTTAATAGACAATGTTTCCTTGTCTTAGTTCATACATTAGAATTAGATTTGCTTATAGGAGCTAATATGCAGATGAAACGAATTTAAGTATGCTATGGTTGTCTTATGAGAGAGCAATATGCTAGTTGGATGGCATCTTCATTCTTCTGAGAGTGACGCCCAACTTTGCTTGGTCTGTAGTGATTCAATCCCACTTCTGCCATGCTGCTTTTCAAGATAGAATCTAGTACATAGGGAAAATATCAAGAGTATAACCCAAATTTAAAATGAGTTGATTGAGGAGATTTTATGACTAAAAGGAGCATCTCCCATCATTTTTTTCTGCCTCTGTACTTCTCCCTACCATGTCTCAAAATCCCGTAAAACCTACCACCCTGGAGAGCAAAGGAGTCTCATTGACCAACTTGGGCTATACTGTCCATCTGAAATGTTTTCACACAAAGGCAGTTTACAAGGGAACCTAGATAGCCTCACATATTGATGACTTTTAGCTTATATAATTGTAGCAAAAGTATGAGAGTCCTTGGTTATTGCATGGTCTTTCAGATGCATGTCCTTGACCTGTTTCTAAACAAGCCACTTCCAGTGATTAAATCATCAGCAAACTAGAGCAGACCCATGTGAAGTTGTCAAATATGTTGTAAATACCAAGATAAGAGTTATTTGGTTTGATTATTTTCCAAATAGTTTATTTGTATGTCTTTAACTTTCCAATACCTTTAGCATACACAATCACTTTATGTTCTTACTTATAATATACAAAAATGAATTCAAGGCACATACTAGACCCTCAGTGATTGTTTTGGACTTATATGTAATAAACATTCAATACAAATTAACTTTTTTTAGTGTCTTTCTTTCAGATGCTGTGCTGTTGCTTGGGCAAATAAATGAATTGCATATTCCTAAATCTCAGTATTCAAAACTCCACAATGAAGTTAATAATTTAGGAAATAGAGACATATAGTCAAGGCACAGGGTGGTGTGTTTGGCGGACTGGAATTGGCCACCCCAAGATATGTCTCTTTAGCATGAGGATTGTTTGGGGCTGGTTACTTTTAAAAAACTGCGGACAGGAAAGAAACTCTGAAAAGTACAATTTACTTACCCTTTGTTAAGAGACATTTACATTTGTAAAGGAAATCTCCATCTGTAAAGGCATCTCCCTCTCTGTGCCTGGAAGAAGGGAGGATGACCTTATCTTTATAAATTCTTAATCAATGCAGAAGGCAAGGACTTAAATGTGCATGACAATCTTACTCTTGTTTATAGTACTTGTCTGGTACCCTCCCATAACTGATTCCCTCTACCTCCAACATCCTTCTTTGTCTTTAGCTGAAGATGATATTTAAGGAGGCTCAGGTTGCCTGAGCCTCTCCCATGTATACATGTTATAAAGCTTTGTTTAATTTTCTCCTGTTATTCTGTCTCATGTGAATTTAATTCATTTTCTAGCCAGAAGGACCCAGAGCAGGTAGAGGAAATGTCTTCCTCCTCTACGTGTGTGAACCAAACTGAGAGCACTGGAAGAAAGGAAAGGATTCTGGAGGAAGTGACTGAGTTGTAGTTTGTAACACATGGGTTGAGTCATCAGGCCAGTCCCCTTCGCTCTCTATAGCCTAGCCACACTCATCTCCTTTGAATTCCACAGAAATGGTACATTTCTGCCCACATCAAGCCCTCTCTAACTGTTGATTCGTCTACCCAGACTTCTTTCTCTATCAGCTCTCAGTTAATTCCTACCTATCTTGTAGATCCCAGATTGACTCCATTTCCAAGAAGCACTTTTTAACTTTGTTCACTGTACTTGAACAATTACTTTTGGGTTCAGAGTGATTAGTCTTTCTACATTATGACATAATTATAGTTTATTATAAATAATTTAAATGATTATTTAATTAATATTTGTCACTTCAATTAGGTAAGATTCATTAGTATAAAAACTGCTGGAATCACCATGAAACACAAAGAACACAGAAGTGCAACAGACACTTAGGAAACTCTCAATAACTTTTAGACAATTAAGTTAACGCAAAAATATAAGTTTGAGAAAACAAAAATTTGGGAAAATAGGAGTTCAGAATTTTCTGCAAATAGGGATTACCAAATAATCAAGACATAAAATGAAGCGTGGTGTATTTAGGGAATGACACATATTAGTATGGCTGGAACCTTGTATAAATACTTATTGGATTGCCCCACAGTAATCAAAACAATTTTGATTTTCATGTATTATACTGTAAGATTGAGAGAAAATATATACATATATTTACCTTTTCAGTGGAATTACTTTTTATTTTTAAACATTTTTATGCATTATAGTGTAAGATTGAGAGAAAAGCATATACATATAACTTATAAATGGAAACACTTTTTATTTTTAAGTTTTTTCAGAGCGTCCTTCACATCTTTGTTCCGTAGGCTATAAATCAGAGGATTTAACATGGGACACACAAGGGAGTAAAACAATGAGGTCATTTTGTCCTGATCTAGGGAGTAAGAAGAACTGGGCTTGAAATACGTGAATAGTAGAGCTCCCTGGAAAATTGCAACAACAGATATGTGAGAGGTGCAGGTGGAGAAAGCTTTGAACCTCCCCTCAGCAGATTGGATCTTTATCACCGCTAGGATGATATAACAATAAGACACAAAAAGACCTGAAAGAGTAACCAGTTCAATCAAGCCAAAAATGGTAAATATCACTAACTCATTGACCTGTGTATCTGAACAAGATAGCAAAAGAAGAGGAGGGATATCACAGAAAAAATGGTTAATCTCATTTGACCCACAGAAACATAAGCGGAACGTTAATATTGTGTTTATCAAAGCATCCATAATTCCTGTCATGTAAACCACAACCATGAGCAGGGAACAAACTCTGCTGGACATGTTGACTGTATAGAGCAAGGGGTTGCTAATGGCCTTGTACCGATCAAAGGCCATCACCACCAGCAGTAGACACTCAGAATCTACGAAAGTACAAAAGATCAACCACTGCAGAGCACAACCATAGAAGGAAATTGACTTGTTCTTGGCAATGAAGCCTACTAGCATCCTGGGTCCAATTGCAGTGGAATAGCAGAGGTCACTGAAGGAGAGATGGCTGAGGAAGAAATACATTGGTGTGTGCAGCTGGGAATCTATTCTAATTAAAATGATCATCCCAAGATTTGCAACAAGAATAGTGAGATAAACAATCAGAAATGTGGTAAATAGGGTCACTTTCATTCCTGGGTTATCGCTAATTCCCAGGAGAAGGAATTCATTCAAGGAAGAGCAATTTTCGCCATCCATTCTTCTTTATTCTTCTAAAATGCTACAGAAATGAACAAAAAAAGGTAGACGAAAGTTTTAACTCTTCTTGACACAAATATAAAAATATAATCTATAAGTCAGAAAGAATTTATTTCAGTACATTATATTCTTTATTATCAAAAAAGATAGTCTAAATAAGTTTTATTGTTATGGTGTTGACAAAAGTAAAAGTGTCTGATGTGGGATTTTGAGAAAGTCTGATTCACAGTTTGGATGTCATCCACGAGGTAGGTGGCTTGCGTGAAACTTCACTGCTCTATCTCAGCAGTCAGTCATGAACAGAGAGCTCATTACAGGTCAAATATAATATGAAAGCAACACCTAAATTAAAGACAAAGCTGGAATACACAGCCTTATATTTTAAAAATAAATATCCAATTGAGTGTCAAAGTGATTGCACTGAGTTCTTCAAGAATCATGATTTGACTGTATTAAATTCAGTAATGAAGAATATTATGCTACTCTTCTTATTCTATGTTGTTTTACTATTTATTGAGACTTTAGATATGCTTTAATAAACTTGTCTCTAGAAATATATTACTGTTTTGATACGTTATTGTTACTTATATGCAGGAGTGTTCGGATGTCTCTTGACGAGTGTAGGGGAGGAAGACATTTCCTCTTCCCAAATGGGGGTTTGTCTGGCTGGAGAACGAATTAAAGTCACATGAGACAGAATAGCAAGAAAAAAATTAAACAAAGCTTTATGAGGAACCATGGCCAGGGGCCTTTTTTCCCGAAGGAAGAAAGGGCACCGAAGAAGTGGGGTACACAGAGTGGTTATATACCCCGAAACAGGATGTTTCACATATGATTGAAATGTCCCTTTCACAATAGTCACAAGGCTGCTTTGTCAGCACAGCTCTTGATGGAAATGGCAGATAGGCCTGCTGTCTCAGTGAATGCCGCAGGGTGGCAGATGTGTTACCTCGGGCTGGGTGATCACAGATGAGCGCTGCAATCAGTTCCCATCCTAAAGAAAGATGCTTAATCTTTAAGGAGATGCCAATGTTGGGAGGGGGAGGGAAGTCAGTTACAGGAGGTTACCAGTGAAGCACAATAAAATGCAGATTTAAGTCCTTGCATTTGGTATTAAGAGTTTCTAGAGAGAAGGTCATCTCCTTTCTTCTTCTTGGTACAGAGAGGGAGTCACCTTTACAGATAGAGATTTACCTTACAAATGTAAATGTGTCCTAACAAAGGTCAAGTTCCATTCCTCAGAGCCTCCTTCCCTGTCCCAGTTTATCAAAAGCAATCAGCCTCAAATAATCCTGATGCCAAAGAGACATATCTTGGGGTGGCCAATTTCAGGTCCCTACATTAGCAAAAAGAAATGCTAGAAACAAGTGGAAACAACAGAATTTAACACATTTGTGTCCATTTCTTAAATTTTAAACCTGCTTTTTCATTAACAACAGAGATGGAAACAGAAATGATAAATATATATTAGCTATATAATCTTCTGTGTGTGTGTGTGTGTGTGTGTGTGCATGTACCCATGTCGCTCTCTCTGTATATATGAGAATTGGAAAGTAAGTGATGATCTGATTTTATTTTAGACTTCAGTAAATATGGTATGTAGGTCATATGAGGTTGAATTTACACAAATTAGTATTTGTATTGTGATATCTCAATTATTACTAATAAAAATAGAAAAAACTCAAATTTGCATATGTTCTCTCACAGTGATTAAAAAACTCAATGTTTTTTTTAAAATTTTAATTGAGATAGAAGTAAGCACAACTGTTCATTTACTAAATAAAATAAATCTGATTCAGCCTGCTTTAATAAGAAATATCACGTTTTGTAATTAGATTGTTGACTATTAACCAAAGGAAATAATTTAAAACTAATTCATTTACGTTTTTCTAAATATTTGATTTCTCATTTTTCAAAATGTAAGGTTTTTTTTTCATTCTTTAAATTTGGTGACCCAGAAGCCTACCTGTGATGAGCAGGTCTCTCTGTGCTTGCCTCTGATTCCTGAACAATATGGACACATCACATTTTATTTTTACTTAGTGACATTTGGGACTTAAATCTCTAAAGCCTCTTCCATTACATGTCTGTGTTATGCAAACAAGTGATTAATTAAATTTCTAGTTCTGTATTTTCCCCTGTGAATGTTCCAATATTTTCAGCACAACCTAACTGATGAGTGATGCGGGGTCGGTGAGCCAAGGAGTCAAAACAAAGATTTCTTAGACTCTCAAGATCTGGCAGTAGTGCTCTTTTATTTAGAGAATAGTGTGGAATAGCATGGGGACAGGACCCATGGGCAGTCAGAGCTTCTGCTGCCACCGCTTCTGCTGCCCCCGCTGGCATGGGACAGGACCCATGGGCAGGCAGAGCTGGTGCGTGGGGACAGGACCAACGGGCGGTCAGAGCTCCTGCTGCTGCCCCGAGTTGAGGGTTAGGGCTAATTTTATAAGGCATGGGTACGTGACTTATTTTTACTGGAAAAAAAGAAAAGATGATGTAAAAAGTCATTAAATGATTTCAGTGCAGATGGGGTCTGGTTATTGTGTGGTCATATAACTTTAGATACGAATCTGGCCATATAGATCGGCATGCAGGTGAGGATGCCCCGGGCTTCTCTCCCTGGGGCAGTCCTAATTCATACCATAAAAAAAGCCCGCTGGGTCATATAGTTTGGCATGTAGGCCATGTCACCCTGGGCTTCTCTGGCTGGGGCAGCCTTAATCCACATCAATGAGGATTTTAGGCTGGTTACTTTTAAAACTGCAGATGAGAAGCAAGCTCCGAGGACTGGAATTTGCTTGCTCTTTGAGAGATATTTGCATTTGTGAAGGAAGGGGGGATGACCTTGTAGGGGCCTGAAATTGGCCACCCCAGGATATGTGTCTTTGGCATCTGGATTGTTTGGGGCTGATTGCTTTTGATAAACTGGGACAGGGAGGGAGGCTCTGGGGAATGGAACTTGCCCTTGTTGGAACACATTTACATTTGTAAGGTAAATCTCTATCTGTAAAAGGTGCCTCCCTCTCTGTACCAGGAAGAAGAGAGATGACCTTGTCCCTAGAAACTCTTAATGGGGAAGGCAAGAATTTAAGTTGGTTGCTGTCTGGCAATCTCATGTAACTGATTTAGGGTGGTGGCTTCTGACCCTTACTTAATCCGATTTGATTCTTGTCTAAAAGTCATGGGATCACCCAATGACCAGACCCCACCTGCACTGATACCATTTTAACTTTTTTTTTGCATGTTCTTTCCTTTGTCTTGTAAAGAGATAACTCACATACCCATGCCTTATAAAATTAACCCTAACCCTCAACTCGGGGCAGCAGCAGCGGCTCTGCCTGCCCATGGGCCCTGTCCCCACGCAGCAGCCTGACTGCCCATGGGTCCTGTCCCCATGCTATTCCACACTATTCTCTAAACAAAAGAGCACTACTGCCAGATCTTGAGAGTCCAAGAAATCTTTCTTTCGACTCCTCGGCTCACCGACCCCACATCACTAACTTTTAATTCTTCACACTTGCACCTAATTGATCAATGTCAGGAAGGTAAAATGATTTTCACACGTGGTTCATTGTTACCTTGAGTCCACGACCATCTCCCTCCAGTCAAATCACACATCTATTGAAACTCAAGGAGACCCCTACTTAGTTATTTTAACTGTTAATTATTATTTATCCTGTTAAATTAATTAAGTTAATAATTGTATTATATAGCATGATTAATTTATGCCTTTATTATTTCTCTTTAATTACTTTTATCTTATATCTTTTATTTCAAAAACAATCCCCTCCATGTTTCCAGTTAGAAATATAATAACTCTTCAAAGTTTCTATTAAATACTTTTTATTTTCATTAAAAATCTGTGATCCTATTCCTCCAGTCATGTCATCCAACACGATTTCAAATATTTTATGACTGTATAACATCTACCATACATAGTACACTTTTTCTTGAATTATATTTTTTCATTCATATATGTCTTTTACTACATTGTGAGCCCCATAAAAATAATAGCAGCTTTTGACTAATTTCTATGTATACTGCAAGCTTAGCACCAAGACTTGCAAAATAATGGCTAATATAATATTTGTTCCTAAATATTTTAAGTGGATAGACTGGTGGAAGCTAGACAAATAGCAGAAATACAGAGGGTTTTGGGGACTACTTCAATTGACATATAGCATACATGCACGTGTGCATGGACGAGTCTTTAATAAAAACTAGGATTCTATTTGTTTCTAAAATAATTTAGTTTGCTTGTATTTGGTGCAATTTTTAAAAGTTGAAAAGTATTGGAGTGTAATTTTACCTCCTTTCCAAATCCTTCCCAATAGCTATTATGTAATACTCTATGATCCCTGAACCTTTGTCTGCCTTTCTGGTCCCTGGCTTCACTGAACTCCATCAGCAGGAACCAGAGCTAATCAACAATTCCCACAGACCTGACTAGTAACAACTTTCATCTGCTCTCCTTTTTGCCATTGAATTTTACCTTCTCTATCATTGTTTTTTGCTCTCTGGATGTACGCAAAGAATAAGAAAAATTCACAGGCAAACATTTATATATTTAATTTGTATACAGACAGTTCCCGACTTATGATGTTTCAACTTAAAACAATTTTTTGATTTTAGAATGGTGTGAAAGCTATATGCATTCAGTAGAAATGATACGTTGAATTTTGATCTCTTTCCAGGCTAGCAATATGTGATACCATGCTCTCTCATGATGCTGGGCAGCGACAGTGAGCAACAGCTCCCAGTCCTACACATGATCATAGAGTAATCAACCCATGCTCTACAGTGTTCAAGTGTGTTCAAGGTGTACAACGTAATGATTTAATATATGTATATTGCAAAACTTATTATTACCACAATAAGTTTAGTTAACATCCATCCTCAAACGCAGTTACAAATATTTGTGCATATGATGAAACTTTTAAGATCTGTCTCAGTAGCTTTCAAATATAATACAGTATTGTTAACTATAGTTACCATGT